TTCTGGCAGGGCTGTATGCCGTTCTGCAGTGGAATCTTGAGAGCACAACCATTGTGGCCTGGAAATGTGCGTGCACTTGAGCCTGAGAGTTTCCGAAATTGTAAGACTGACTCTCTTGATATTCAGTATCTGATTCTGTATTTGTTGAGAGCGGCAATTCTGAATTTACACACAACGCCTTGGTTTTGCTAGTGCTTGCACTAAATTTTAGTCATAGCGAGAGTGCTGAATCGTGTACTTTGGATGCAACCATCACAAAAGGCGTAAAGACTCGCAACTGGTATCTTGACCCATACATGTCAGATTTTGATATTCGTCAAATTATGCGGCAGTTCCCACCAGCAAAGCGTCTCGAAGGGAGACCAACAGGTACTAAAATGCATACAAGATTGGACCGACTCAATGTTCATGGACAGCTAGACGAAAGTCACAACTTCTTTGATCGGTGGTGCATCATACTTTAGGTACAAAATAAGTGTAAACTTTAGACAAAATATGGTGACTATGACACGTCACTTCTTAAGAATATAGAAGAAATATTATTTGTATCCACGTGGACGTCTTACAACAGATCAAATATCGATCATGACACGGAGTCCTTTGCTGTTACTGGCTCTACTATCGCTCGTGACTTACGTGCATGCTTTTAATTTTGACTTTGGCTTCAATGGACATCATCGCGAGCATGAGCATGAGCATGAGCACGAGCATGAGCATGTTGACTTTTACGAGACGCTGGAATTGACAATGGAGGCTTCTGAGGCCCAAATCAAAAAGGCTTACCGCAAATTAAGCCTTAAGTATCACCCGGACAAGAACAAAGGGGACGAAGAGGCCGAGAGTCGTTTTCATGAGATTTCACGCGCTTACGAGGTCCTTTCAGACCCACAGAAGCGCCAGGTTTACGATTTGGAGGGCTTTGAAGGCCTTGAACGTGATGAGAAGTCAGGTGGTCGTCCTTCCAGCCCGTTTGACGCCTTCTTTGGTGGGGGCGGAAAGCAACGCGGCCCTGATGCCGCCGTGGATGTGCGTGTGACGCTTGAAGAGCTCTACAACGGTGCTCAGAAGCAGGCTCAATTTTCACGCAATGTTATTTGCCGCAAGTGCCGCGGTACTGGCGCGAAAGGAGGTAAGACTACGACATGCAAGAAATGTGGTGGGTCAGGACATGTATTGGTACAGCAAAAGATGGGACCGGGATTTTCTGTGCAAATGCAGCAGCCGTGCCCTAAATGCGGCGGTCGTGGCAAAACTTTCAAGAAAGCGTGTCCGTTTTGCAATGGTAATAAGGTTGTCAAGGAGGACAAAGTGCTGACTGCCGACATTGAACGCGGAATGCCGTCACAGCATGAGATTGTCTTCGAGCGCGAGAGCGAACAGCGCCCGGGAATTGTGCCAGGAAACGTCATTTTCCGCCTGCACCAAGTGCCTCACAGCCACTTTCGGTATGATCTGTTTTGTGGTGTTTTTTATTTAAGACGTTGTACTTATATCACATGGTATCTCTTAGCCGCGCAGGTGATGATTTACATTTCGATCTCGCTATTTCGCTGGAAGAGGCATTGCTGGGCTACAGGAAACCTATGAAGCATCTTGATGATCGAACTGTGGTGCTAGCGAGTTCGGAGGTTACGAAGCCTTTCGAAGTCCGCACTGTAGAAGGTGAGGGCATGCCTGTACACAATTATCCGTCCCAACATGGCAACTTGCTTGTACACCATGAGATTCTGTTTCCCACGTTTCTGACTGAAGAACAAAAGATGCTTGTGAAGAAGTTGCTGCCGGAAGATCCTGTTACGGCTGTGGAGTGAAAACGCCTTAGCAACAGAAAAAGCAATGACTTAAATTAACATGACGGCGGGTATTCTCATTTGATTGGTAGAAATCTAAAATAGTGTATTACAAGCTTTAAGAAAGTCCATATTAACGTCGACGCCATGGACGAACAATGGAGAAGTGCGTGGCATGTATCTTCTCTACTGTATTATTGATCTGACAATAGAATATTGAAATGCGACATAGCAAAACAACTTGAGCTTAAGCAGCGATTGATCGAATCAGATGTGGTACAGTGGCAGCTTCATCCTCATGTTGATTGCGCTCCTCTGATCGACAAGAGCAGCAGCTGTCGAATGCTCCAAAGATTGGCTGGAGTAGATATCAGTTTTCTTAAGGGATCAAATAAGCACGCGTGTGCTTCCATCGTGGTGCTCGAATTCCCGTCAATGACGCTGCTATATGAAGCCTTCACGTATGTGTCTTTACCAGCCCCGTACATCGCCGGATTCTTGGCATTTCGAGAAGTACCAGCACTCTCAAAGCTCTTTAACGATCTTTGCCGACGTTGTCCAGGTGTGGAATTGGCACCTCATTGAGGTATTAAGTGGTCTTTTAAGCTGAGGCTGCGGTTTATGCTACAGACCTGATTCCAGACGTGACTTTAGTAGACGGCAACGGAGTCTTGCATCCCCAAGGCTTTGGTCTTGCCTCTCACTTTGGTGTGCTCGAAGATATTGCAACAATTGGTGTAAGCAAGACGCTTTTACATGTCGATGGTCTCACTAAATCCGACGTGAAAGCATCAATGAACAATGCACGGGAAAAAGGTCAAGACATTGTCAAGCTTAGAGGAGAATCTGGTAAAGTAAGATATGTTTACTGCTCTGATAATTGTTTATATCTGTAGTCTAATTTTATGTCGCTGATCTGTCGTGCGTGCTTGAGATTTGGGGAGCTGCGCTATGTTGTACAGCTGCGGTCAAAAATCCCGTTTATGTGTCGACCGGGCATCAATTATCACTCGATACTAGCGTCGCAATCGTCCAAGCTTGTTCGTTGCATCGCGTACCTGAACCAATTCGTCAGGCCGATTTGCGGTCACGGGAAGTAATCAGGGAGTGGACGAACGCAAGTCGTGTCGACATGTCGCTAGATCGCTATCATGTGAATGCACATCTCGTACGCTAAACGCTCTGCGTTAACATAATGTCATCGACGATTAAAGTTTGCACCAAGTGGTTTGTAAATAATACGAAATTTCCCTATACTGATAGGTAAGACGTCCCCATAACTTAAATCATATTTATCTTTAAATTCCTGAGCTACAACTGCAGACTCAACGCTATGGACAGAAAGCGCCAATCTTGTCGAAACATTGGTGCTACAGACGTTCCTGACAGCGAACGAGGAGATTCCGTGTCATACTGATGGTCCCAACTCGGTTCCATTTTACATGTAACTTTATCCTCGGGAAGTTCGCAATCAAAATTCCCCTCGCCTTCGAAACTACGCAGTAGAGTAGCAAGTGGAAGGAGATGCACCGTAATCTGATGTTCGACAATTTCTAACTGAGCCAATGATACGCGTTGCACTCGCGCAGGGTTCATCAGCAGCAAAGTCTGTAGCTTCTCAAGTGTCTCAATGGTACGCACGAGCTTGAGAATCACCAAGGGCGGCACAGGTGCATTAGAACAGGCTGATTCAGGACAGTATGTCAGAATGACCTTGAGTTCTTGAATCACCATGACAATATCACCCAAATAGCTGCGTCGCAACTCTTCCAGCTTTTGAGTATTCTTCTTGGCTGTGGCTGACGTTGGTTGACAGCTTGGTGACTCCAGCACGGAAAGAGACGCCTCGATTTTCTTTTGGGGCCGTGGTCGTGGAAGTACCGATAAAATAGACCGCGATGCAAAAGTCGTCAGTGTTGGGCTCAGACGCATTCGCTTTTGACTAGATTGTTGGGAGCTGTTTCGATTAGATTTCTTCTTGATGATGAATTGCTGCATTTTCTGTTGTGGGTTGAATTGATGTGCGGTGCGCTCGGTGAGGCGAAAGGCGAAGTGATAATCACGTATGTCACTTTACCCTTGTAATCTCTCGCACCTAGTCTGTCTTTTTTTAAAATAAGGGTGGAATTGGATTGGGGGCTGCGACATGCAGCTGAAGAGTTAATCTGATCGCTAGCTGATTGGCTGGAATATGTTACGTATGTAGCGTTATGTCTCGATTCCTCATCATTTGCAATTGGGATTTGTCGTGTTTAAGGTGCTAGATTATTGAACGCCAGATGCCAAATACATACAGGGTACAAAAAGCTGAGGAGCACATCCTCATCTATTGAGTGGATACATTTGTAGACACGCTGGTCATGCATTTACGTCGGCTTTATTCCTTAGTAGACTTACTGACAGATTCAAGCATCACAGAAAGGCCAGAAGCTTCTTGGATCTCAAAGTTATTTGCAGCCATTGAGCTGTTAGAAGGTTAAATGCAGGTCAGAGCGAGGTACTTGGCAGCTGGACAAATTGTCCGGCGATTATGGCTCTGGCTGATCTGGTTGACACTGAGCAGGGTGTGTAACCGGTAAGAACTGTATTATTTCCGGTAATCAAAACACGATAAATATGGCATTTTAGATGCGACATTTCTACGTGTCATGCCCTAAGCGGTTAGAGGTTATAAAAACGCAAGATCATATCTTTTCGGTGCAGACTTCAAATTAATGTTTCACTTATGACAGGATATAATAACGGATTGCTCGACGGACGTCATTGTCGCATTCACACGACTCAGTATCCGTTGAGATGTCCGAAACGACAGAATATCATGCGGATAGCATCAAAAATTGGACGAATGCCAGAACTGCGGTAACTTCAGTGCAAACAATCGAGGGTTTCTTTGAACCAAAGACACCAATTGACAGTCTTGACCTTGATTCGGTGCCGTTCTTCAGGCGCTTCCAGCTTACTTCTCGATCATGGAAAGAGTTTCAGCTGCAACTCAATCAGCTTGAAAATAATGAAACAAATGTCGCAAGGCAAGTAAAGGTTGTGTACTTAGTGCGTCATGCCGAAGGCATTCATAACGCTGCATCAAATCAATTTGGCGTCGAGCGCTGGGAGGCAGAGCTCGCGTTCCAGGACTCGTATTTAGATTCGGACCTCACACCGTTTGGCGTTCAAGACGCAAAAAGTAGAGGTACGAGCAGCGTGAAAGCAGAGCTCGAGAAAGGCATGCCACGCATTGAGCGTGTGGTTGTGTCACCACTTTCAAGAGCGATCCAGACAGCGCAGCACTTCTTTGATAAGAAGCAGCTGCTGAACTCAACTTTTGTATGCATGGAAAAGTGTCGTGAAGTATTTGGTTGTCACACTTGCGATAAGAGGCGCTCTGTTTTAGAGCTCAAGCAAAAGTTTCCGGACGTAGACTTTTCAGCCATTAAGGACGAAAATGACATACTGTGGACATCTACTCATCGCGAGACTGATGAAGAGATACAGACTCGAGCTAAGCTGTTTCTGGTTGAGCTTTTTGAAACGATTGCTGAGCGGAATGTTGCTGTAGTGACGCACTCGGGATTCGTAGAGGCGGTCTGTGCTGTCGTATTGGGCATTCGTATTCATCCGGCGAATTGCGAGGTCATTCCCCTCGTTTTAGAAGCCATTTAGGAAGCGCAGCCACGTTTTTTACACCAACAAGGTTAAACGTCTAATCTGCTTGACCTTTACTAAATAAAAAAATTTCGCACAGCCAATAGAAAACTCTTGCCATCATTTCAACTATCTCTTGCAGCCATAAACATTCTCAACAGCTGCCCGATCAGTTCAATAATGCAGTGAGCAAAGCTTGACGCTGCTCTAGCACGTCAGAGTCGGCCGAGCGGGTCTCTTCATCCAGATTCTCATATATCTCCTCAAACCGGTCAAACTGGACCTTTGCTCGCTCCATCTCGTCGTTATTGTACAGCGTGATAGCGTAATTGAGGTGAAACATATGGTCTCTATAACAATCAATTGTAAACAAAGTTGATTACAAACCAAGGATATAGGTGGCATCTGATATACGTACCTCTCCATTTCGATAGCCTTTTCAAATGCATTACATGCATTTTCAAAATCATCCAAGCGACTCAGTGTAATTGCCAAGTACATGTAGGAGCTTGGAAAATCTGACTTGAGATTGATCGCAGCGCTAAAAAATTGAAACGCCGATGCATACTGGCCCGTATTTAAATGAACAAGGCCTAGATTATACGACGTGATCCACTCGAACGGTTCCAAGTATAATGCCCGTTTCAAACACGCTACAGACGCCACAAATCGCTGCTTGCCAAAGAAACACATGCCAATGTTGTTCCACAATTGCGCCGAGTTCGGTGTTTGAGCAGCAGCCACACGATATTTTACGAGAGCAACGTCCATATCACCATTATCCTGAATAATGGAACCTGCTGCAAGAATCGTCTTGGGGTTCCGCGGGTCATGAGTTAGAGAATTGCCCAGATAGTCAAAAGCGCGATAGCTATCGCCAGCTCGCAGATACAGTAAGCCGAGTGTCGTTAAAATCGCTGGATTTTCGGGTGAAAACTCCAACGCCTCTAAATAGACGTCAACGGCAGCTTTAAAATCCTCTTTCAGCGTATAAACCTTACCAAGCTGAAGGTACGTCGCATCATGACGATTGATAGTGTTGGCTCGCTGGAAGTTCTGTGCAGCAATATCGTAATCCTTTAGAAATATATAGCATAGCCCCATACTGTGAAAAATCTCCCAGTCATCCACGCGTCCCATCGTCAAGATCTCCTCGTACACTTCAATGGCAGCTGTGTGTTTGCCCAAGAGATAAAGTGATCGTCCAACCTGTTTAAGATTCTCTTTATTCTCTGGATTCAGACACGCGGCAGCTTGGAAAAGCTGCAAGCTCTCTTGAATTCGCCCGGATTGTCGAAGGATTAAAGCTTTGACATATAGTGGATATTCACTAAGTCCTTGGTGCTCCTTTAATATCTCTTCAATTACTCGCAAGCACTCTTTAAATTCGGCACGGAGGTACAGTCGGTGGAGATACCAATTTCGACTTGGTGGCTCTGGTTTATAACTTCGATTAAAAGTCCCACGTACACCATGTTGCGATCTCGGCGACCGGATACTGTCATCCATCGAGAGCAACTGACTGATCTAATGCGCGCGAAACGACGCAAATGGCTACTTTTGCAAATATTGTCATGATCCCAGGATACCGGTATGGAAACGTTAGCACAAGGTACGCATTTGCAAAAAACATGGCGGCATTAAACAGTCCCAAGCTTTTGGCAGTGCTCAGGCCTACGGGTGACATATTTGTAAACGGTTTATCATCCGGCTACGACGACAATTATCCTGAGTCAGAGCAGCTACGTTTGCTGATGACACGCGATGATTTCGCTACGAGTGTTGCCATGATCAATGACGCGTTATTGGATCATTGGCCATGTCTACCTTGCACTGGTTTTGGCTACGGCTGCTGCATTTGCACGCTGGGACTATCGCTGTATTGTGCTTCAACTCAAGTTGCGGAAGCCGAGAGTCGGCTGCAACTGCAGTTGCGACGGATGAACGAACAGACAAAGTTTAAGGAAAAAGGAATTCAGTGGCGATTGAAGAGGTCTTGGTGGAAAAGAACTTCTTATATTGAAATCGTTGTGAATGCAAATAGCTGCAAAAGTGTCGAGACTTAGAGTGCAAGGTCAGCGGATGCTTTTAGTCGAGTGATTTGAAAGAGAGCCCATATTTATCCAAATGACACACGTAAAAAGTAAGACTATTGACATTTTCCCGCAAATTAGCAATTGGAATGTTGTAGCAGCTAGATTCTATTAAAATTGATACTAAATATTTTTGGTTCCACATCGATAATTGAGCGACACGTTTACCGTCCCATCGTACAGAACTTCAGTACTTTTGAATACCCACAATTCCATTTGTAAATTCAATACAACTGTAGAATTTCGTACAGTTGTACCAGTCACAACATCTTGTAGACCACACTAGGATCAAACATACGCAAAAGTGAAGCACATTCACTACATTTCTTGCGCTCTGCATTCACTACATTTATTGCGCTCTGCATTGTCTTTGTGATGGGACAAGTACTTAAGCATTGCTTACTCAAATTTACACAATTGACGTAGATACAATATGGTGCGCTTGCTTGAAATTCACAATACAATTGGTGTAATTGTGAATAAGTACCGAAATATCCGATTTTATGAAGATTACGGAACAGAGAGAAGACGCTAAGACGTCGGCTACTAGCCGCATGTCAGACAACGACGACGTTTATTGCGAAAGATGATAAACGTGTATAATCAATAATAGTATGTTTATAATAATTGTGATATACTTTCATCAATAGCCGAGCGAATTAACAGTGCTGGCCACTCTGCAGTCTTTTGGTTCCGTAACGGGTTGGGGCGCATGAACCCAATCTTTGAGCGTTCGTTATCGCGGACTCAAAGGCTCAAACCTTTCTCTATGCAAAGTGCACGGCAACCCTGTTGGACTTGGTAGCAGTTAGAGTCAAGCAAGTGTTAAGGATATATCCTTTGCGAAGATAGAACAAAAAGTGTTTGGACACTTGTTCTCAGAACACACACAGTTACCTAACAAGTATTTGTATATCCTGGGTCCCGACCGTGTCAGGGAACTAGTGCCCAAAGGACTAAAAGCGGTGATTTCTCTCCTGGAGACAAAAAACCGCACCGATGAGGCACGTTCAGGAGCGCAGGGAGTAATTGATAATCTCACCGTTAGACCGCTGATGTTGGGCTCCTTAGGTTTCGAGGAACGCGAGAAATAACACCTTTTCTGGATGAGGAAAATGAAGATGGCCATGAATTTGGCGTTACTCCAAGCGGAGCCGTAGCGTTTCTCGCTTGAGATTTCAAGACTTGCGCACGCAAGAATGAGCACTTTCTTCTAATATTTTGTAAAAAGAGTCTTACTCAACTTGAACAATTTTTTTGACAGATGAAGCGAGTTCTCACCAGGCTTGATGGGTGCGTTCAAACTTTCCGTTCCCTTGTCAATGGAGGCAAAAACGGTTCTCGATGCTCAAAGCTTTAGAATTCTATATGGATCGACGCAATTGCGTCTGACCCTTTCCCGGAGGCTGTAGCGGTTTCTATCTTCATGTTATTTCTGAACGAGTGCGGCTCGCCTCGAGACTTTCTGGTCAACCCTTTGGGAGTCATACTCAATTAAAACGCAAATTCCTTACCGTAAGGGCAGAATAGGGCTCTAAAAATACTTCTCCAAGTTTGTCAGGTTGAGAAGGGGCTGAGAAGCCTTGCGAAACACACAGATTTTCACCTGCGATCCTACAAGCATCTGCGTTTTGCGTGTTTTTTATTCTTCTTTTGGATGTACTAAGGGTTAGGCTCCCTCACGTGGGCAAACAACAAACCCTCACTGGAAATTATCAGGTCCCTGTGGGCCGCTGTGTTCACCCTGCAAGAGAGCTGGGCTTATTGTATCTAATGGAGCGCGGTCAATGGAACCCGAGAACTAGCTTCTCTTTTGAGAGATCAAATCCCTGGTTCATTGCTTGTAGATATCAATGCCTCTGACTTTGTGAAGCCATGGATCAGATAGATAAAGAAGGTCGTATAATTACATAGGACGTGTGACAGTCGAAAACAGCTAACGAAATGTGGAAGCATTGAGGTTATAAATATAGATACAATGTTCATCCACCTTTCGGCAGTGACACTGATAAACGTTTTAAAAAAATGCTGTGCTTTTATGGGAAGCTCGAGGAGTTACACAAATTAAAGATTTGTCTATTGCTGAGCCAAGATTCGATTTTCGAACGTAATTTTAGGCATGGCGCTGATGAACCTCCACGAACCGTGGGTCGATTGAAATTTAAAATATCTAAATTTCACTCTTCGTGAAGCATCGACGAGTCCTATACTTCCGCTGCCAGATAACAAAAGCGCTTTCAGCGCGGGCAATAAGCTGCACTAGCTTTTGTGCAGGACATGGTATTGTCCAGATTTGATGGGTTGTCGAGCAGAGCTCGAAAGGTAGAATCGGAAAAGACATACGGTCATGAGGTGAAACAGAAAATATCGATAGTAAATCGTGGTCACCACAGTGTATCTCTGTCGAGATGTGAAGTGAAGATCATATGACGTGGTCCCCGGAGTACATCTCTAGTAGGACGGCAAGAGCAGCTGTGAGTCGTTGTATCCCGTGTCAGGACCAGTGGGAAGTGGAAGCGAGTACGCATCATATCGGGTTGACGGAGTTGAAGGGTGACCACTGTCAGTCTCGATTAAAAAAGCTTGGTTTGGAAGATAACAAGGATGATTTTCCATTGTCACAATGTGGCAGTGCTATTGAGAAGCCAACGGGTATAGTGAGGAAGATCAGTTACTCGTAAACGGAGTGACCGGGTATTCCTATTGGCTTTTTATCTACTCTCACCGAGCTTTCATTAACTCAAGGATTGATTTCCATAGAAAACATAGGAAATGATTTGTAAAAGTTGTTGCTGAAGGAACATCACGATGTAGTGATGCAAGATTCAACACCTCGGTTTAGAGAAGTTTTGCCATGACGTCGGCTTGGTTCCCAGTCAGTTATTGTGTCACACGTAATGACCCTACATGGGACCAAAGTGACGTTATTGACGTTTTTTGCGTTTGAAGCCTTAATGTGTGTATAGAAAGCAATCCTTCACCCCGGCGCTGAGTTTCTGTTTCAAAAAATATTCCGGTTAATGGAATATGTGCTAGTTTTTAGCTAAGTGCGGCCAAATTCAAGGCAATCATCGGTTCCCAGACACATTCTTGACGTGCTCGAAGCAAATAGCAGTTCAGGGCAAAGGCTGAAGCGTCACAGATTACGTGGAATTCTTGATGTGGTTTTGGAAGGACTAGAATGAATGCAGGCATGCGAATTTCTTCACAGCTTTGTTGGCTGCCTCCTCTACAGCACTTCAACACCATTGACCCCCTTTTAGAAAAATGGCGAGGGATTGTACCATGTCGGCATGATTATATTTTTATAACGAGTTGATCACGCTAAATCAAATGTTAACGCTCATTGCGACAGAAAAACCGGCCAATGCACAATGGCCTTGAATTTTGCGTACATTTCAATGTCAATCAATCACCCCGAAAGAAGATTTTGTCGCCGCCAGAGACACGCTTGTCTATATTGACAGAAAACCAATGTTTGAAATGCTAAAGCACTGCTCGGAAATTTAGTGGACCAAGGAGTCAGCAAGGTTGTTACCGGTACCTGTAAATTGAAAAGGTTAATTTCCGTCGGATTTTGAGGCTCTACTTTGGGGTTGCGTTGACGTCATGACCGCTTACGACCTGGCGCACTCTCGGCGTTTATTTCATTTGAAGAAATGATTCGGTCAGCCGTCGCTGCGCTCTTCCTTACGTCCGCCGTTGCTGTGAATAAGACTTTTCATTGTAAGCTGAAACGGCTGTTTCATGAAAAACAGCGTGACTGGAAACAGCAGAAAAGGGATGTGTTGGGTTATCACCCCAATGTCCGCATAGTGCTTTGTCCATTCTGAAAGCTATCATGAGTCGACGCTCTAAGTGGGCATCTGCCTTGCCAGGGCTGACATTTTCAGCCTCAAGGCGGGTGTGAGTAGCGTGTTTAACTTAACCAGCGCGCAAATTAAATCTGATACTCAGCAGCCTAATGCTCGTCTATAGAAGAGGGGGAAGTGTTCCGTCACCGCGCCGTGTAAATCACGCCGTTAATCAGCTTGTTAATATCGAATTGAGCCTTGTTTAATAAACAAAGCTTAATTTAGTGTAGTACAAGAGTCTCGCCTACTGTTCCGGTCAGAAGGTCACTCGCGGCTATGCATGTGGTCATTCTGCCCGCACCCAGAGCAAAACGAGCTCTAAAACGTTGCACTACGAGTGCTTCTTGGCCCCCAGGTATCCCTTTCTCAAGACACCTCTGCACCGGATGCAGCAGCGGCTAGGAAATTCCGTTTGTCATGTGATTCAGATTGGGGACTCGAAGCTGGCAAAATTACCTGTAACTCGAGCAGCAGCGAGGCGTCGCGCCTTGCGCACCGCTTTATGAATAACAGTATATCGCCCAGGATAAGCATAGCTGTTTAATTTGACTTGAAGAGTCAAAAGCCCATTCTCATTGGAGACGATCTCGGCGTCCGCGAAGATCGCGCTTTTGTTGACAGCTTCATTATCCTGGCTTACGGGAGCCGATTACAGGTGCGAATACGCACTGAAGCGAACCCATGAAAACGTACGAAGAATGGAGTGGACGTTGAAGGGGTAGTTGGTTATGGAGCGCTCACTTATGCGCGGGGTTTTTGAAAAGTATTTTTAAGTGTGAACAGCAGTGTGGCTCTTATCCTAACGGGACTGTATGTTAAGGGGCAATTACGGTAATCTTAGGCACTTAACCCTTTAACATTTCGCACAATTACAATACGGTACAATTGTTCGAAGATCACATTACATTTGATAAAACAATGAAAAATACCAAGTGAAACTTACATAGGCTGGGCCTAGCATGCATGAGGACTGCTAGCCGTACGTAAAAAAAACAATTTCATTAGGTGCAAAAGCAAACTGTACATATCTAGCCATACGCAGAGTATGTACTCTTGAATTAGCAGATCGAGCTTCCAGTTCTAATTGTGTTAGCGGTTCTTGGTTTTGCCTAGTAGGAG